ATGTTCCCTTGGTATCTCTAATTTTCTTGAAGAGATCTCTAGTCTTTCCCATTCTATTGTCTTCCTCTATTTCTTTCCACTGATCACTGAGGAAGGCTTTCTTATCTCTCCTTGCTATTCTTTGGAACTCTGCATTCAAATGGGAATATCTTCCCTTTTCTCCTTTGCTTTTCACTTCTTTTCACAGCTAATTGCAAGGCCTCCTAAGACAGCCATTTTGCTTTTTTGTATTTCTTTTTCTTGGGGATGGTCTTGATCCCTGTCTCCTGTACAGTCTCATGCACCTCCACCCATAGTTCATCTGGTACTCTTTCTTTCAGATCTAGTCCCTTAAATCTATTTCTTTCTTCCACTGTATAAGGGATTTGATTTAGGTCATATCTGAATGGCCTAGTGGTTTTCCCACTCTCTTCAATTTAAGTCTGAATTTGGCAATAAGGAGTTCATAATTTGAGCCACAGTCGCTCCTAGTCTTGGTGTTTTATTTTTTTTTTTTTTTATTATATAGAGCTTCTCCATCTTTGGCTGCAACAAATATAATCAATCTAATTTCGGTGTTGACCACCTGGTGATGTCCATGTGTAGAGTCTTCTTAGTGGTTCAGAAAAAATTGCATGACTATGTGGTAATGAGAATAAGAAAATGATTAACAGAGAGAAAGCAAATACAGTAATTTGTAAAGAGTTAATGAACCAAAGGAAAGAATAAACATGTTAGTATTCATAGGACTATTCTTTTAAATGTTTTGTAATTTTTACACTTTCAAATAAAGATATTTCCAAGATAAAGTTGAGAAATAACATATAGATGGACGCAAAGTCAAATATGCTTACATACATACAAGTATGTTTGCTATGGTATTGATACAACAAAATGTTGCAAGCAAGCTCCCGTTCAGTACTAACAATGTCATTGAATAAACTGTTTCTATATGATGGGCACAATAGGTGAAGTGATAATACAGATTTTTCATCTTACTATAATAGCTTTTGGGTATTGAGATTTCACCTAATTTAATTATATTTTCTTTCCCCTTATAACTTTTTCCTGAAATGTTTGTTTTGTTGCAAAAAGTAAAACTTTAACATCTATAATTATAGCAAACCTAAAAAATTGTTTTAACACACACACAAAACATAGGTTCTTAATATCTGTTATATCTTAGATATAACAAAGTCTATTTCCTGATAGGGATTCCAGATCTCTTGAAGAAATTTTGTGTAACTTATACAATATGAATGTTTCTCAGTGTGAATTTTTCTAAAAGTCTACTTAGAGAATTTTTCCTTTTATAGGTATAATGTTAATGCATTTGATATGTAAGTATTAATAATTAATTTTTATTACCTGTTTTGTATTTCTTGGGTTCACTTATAATCAATTTTCTGGGGGGTTTTGGTTTGTTTTTTAGAATTCTGTTTTGGAAATATGGTGGTATTTTACTATTGAAAAGATAATTCATTTATTTTATTAAAATGATTTTTAATAAATGCCTACATTTCTTATCAGACTATTTCTCACATTTTTATGTTGTTGTTTAGCCCCTCAGTCCTGCCCACTCTTTGCGACTCCATCGACTGCTGCACGCCAGGCTTCCCAGTCCTTCACCATCTCCCAGAACATGCTCAAACACATGTCCATTGATTTGGTGATGCCAATCCAACCACTCATCTTCTGTCATCTGCTTCTCCTCCTGCCTTCAATCTTTCCCACCATCAGGGTCTTTTCCAATAAGTTGGCTGTTCACATCAGGTTGTCAAAGTACTGGAGTGTCAATTTCATCATCAGTCTTTCCAATGAATATTCAAGACTGACCTCCTTTAGGATGGACTGGTTGGATCCCCTTGCAGTCCAGTGGACTCTCATGAGTCTTCTCCAACACCACAGTTCAAAAGCATCAATTCTTTGGCACTCAGCTTTCTTTATGGTCCAGGTCTCACATTTATACATGACTACAGGCAAAACTATGGCTTTGACTACAGAGACCTTTGTTTGCAAAGTAATGTCTCTGTTTTTTTAATATGCTGTCTAGGTTTGTCATAGTTTTTCTTCCAATGAGCAAGCATCTTTTAATTCCGTGGCTGCAGTCACAATCCATAGTGATTTTGGAGCCCCAGAAAATAAAAGTCTGTCACTGTTTCCACTTTTTTCTCATCTATTTGCCATGAAGTGATGGGACCAGATGCCATGATCTTAGTTTTTTGAATGTTGAGTTTTAAGTCAGCTTTTTCACTCTCCTCTTTCACCTTTATCAAGAGGCTCTTTAATTCCTCTTTGCTTTCTGCCATCTCCATCTTACTCTGCACAAATTCTTTGGGGAAAGGAAATGGTGGGACATATTGAGAAAATAGCATTGACACATAAACTACCATATGTAAAATAGCTAGCAGGAACCTGCTGTATTTCACAGAGAACCTGGCTTGGCACTCAGTTACGACCTAAAGGGTGGGATTGAGGGTGGGTAGGAGGGAGACTCAAGATGAAGTGGATATATGCATACAGTTATAACTGCTTCACAGTGCTGTATGGCAGGAAAGAAAACAGCATCATAAAGCAATTATCCTCAATTTAAAAAAAAAAAAGATTTTTAAGAAATGAGAAATTGTCTACTACAAGTATTTTCATTGTAAAATACTATAAATTTTCTTTATTGCATATTATTTTACACAAAATATTAAACTGTCATTCACTGCCCTGTAAAAGATCAAGTTTCTTTTTAAAAGTTTTCTCTTGATTTTTTTTCTTGTAAGTATTCTGTGACACCAGACACTTCAAAAACCCCAGCCATAAACTATCTTTTGTAGATCCAAATCTATACTTCAGGGATGAAAATATGCCCTGACCTCTTGCTGTCTTTTGTGATAAATCAAAGACTTTGTGTACCACACTGTTATCTAGAGCACAACTCTGTTTTCAGACTTTCTAAATCCTTGGATTATTTTTAAAGTATCAGCATGGTTGAAACTCAAAACCTTTGAAATGGTCCTCCAAGGGATAAGTCCTATATACCCATACTGCTTTCTTATAGTAATCTCCCTTATGCTCGTTGGGCTCACTAGAAATAGAATCATCATCATAATAAAGCCTCTGAGATCAGCAGGCACTGTGTGAGAAGGAAGGCCATGAAAAGCAGAGCTCATGGGGCACTCTTTGACAGCTCTTATAACTCTGTTTCTGCCCCAAGCTGCAAGCATCACAACAGCTGTTTTGCTTCCTCTGCTGGAAACGCTGAACTCCAGGCTGACTCCCAGTGGCATCTTTTTAGAGCACAATATGCATGTCTGAGCTCCCTAGTCTGAGCAGAAGGATCATTAAACACAACCGGGAGCCAATACCACACGGTTTCCAGTAGACCAGATTTCTCCATGGCATATGGAAGGTGAACTATCAGAACAAGAATTCGCAAAGGTAAGGCCAATCTTAATTTCACTATTTAAGACAATTTTGATGGCAAGCTTCTTCTGCATTATCAGGGCATAGGGCAAAGAAATTTGGATTTAGATTCAAAATATTAAAGGCCAAAAAGACTCAGATCCCAGTGGCTCTAGGAAAAATATTTAACATTTGGAAGAAATCATTATAATCTCTAACTAACTGGTTTGTTGTGAAAATTATAAAAGATAAAAAGAGGTTGGCAAAAGCAGACAATCCAATTAAAAAATGGCCCAAAACTTGAACAGACATCTCACCAAAGATGATCTTAAGATGACAAAGGCGCATATGAAAAGATATCCCACATTATAAATCATCAGGAAAATGAAAACCAAAACAGCATGAGATACCTACACTCACTGATTGTTGTTCAGTAGCTAGATTTACAACTCTTCCCTGTCCTTCACTATCTCCTTGAGTTTGCTCAAATTCATGTCCATTGTGTCAGTAATGCCATCCAACCATCTCATTTCCTGTCTCCCCCTTCTCCTCCTGGTGTCAATCTTTTCCACCACCAGGGTCTTTTCCAATGAGTTGGTTCCTCGCATCAGCCAAATTCAAGAACACTGACACCCCAAACGCTGGCAAGGATGTAGAGCAGCAAGAACTTTCACTTATTACTCGTGAAAGTAAAATGGTGTGGGACAGCCACTTTGGAAGACAGTTTGGCAGTTTCTTTTTGCAACCCCATGGAATGTAGACCACCAGGCTTTTCTGTCCATGGTATTTCCCAGGCAAGAATACTAGAGTGGGTTGCCAGTCCCTTGTCCAGGGAGTCTTCCCAACCGAGGGATGGAACCGGGGTCTCCTGCATTGGCAGATGGAATCTATAACACAAGGTCCAGCAATCATTCTCTTTGGCATTTACCCAAAGGAGCTGAAAACATTCCCATACAAAAACCTGCATGCACATATTTATAACAGTTTTATTCATAATTGCCAAGCTTGGAAGCAACCAAGATCCCCTTCGGTAGGTAAATGGATAAATAAACTGTGGTATACACAGGCAATGGCATAGCACTCAATATTAAAAAGAATTAAGCTATCCAGCCATGAAAAAACATGGAGGAAATTTAAATGCATAACATGAAGTGAAACAAATCCATCTTAAAATGTTATATACCAGCTATATGGCCTGTGTGCATGCAAAGTCACTTCAATTGTGTCCAACTCTGTGGGGCCCCATGGACTGTAGCCTGCCAATGGGATTCTTCAGGCAAGCATATTGGAGTGGGTTGCCATGATCTCCTTGAGGGGATTTTCCCCACCCAGGGGTTGAACCCATTTCTCTTAAGTCTCTTGCATTGGCAGGCAGGTTCTTTATCACTAGTGCCACCTGGTGAACCCATATGACCTTCTGGAAAAGGCAGATCTAAGGAGACAGTAAAGTGATCACTGGTTGCCAGGGGCTAACAGTGTGGAAAGATGAATAGGGGAAGGCATGGAGGATTTCTAGCACAATGAAAATACTTTGCATGACTTTGCATGATATTATAATGATGGTCAGGAAGATCCCTGGAGAAGGAAATGGTGATCCACTCCAGTAATCTTGCCTGGAGAATTCCATGGAGAGAGGAGGCTGGTGGGATATAGTCCATGGTGTTGCATAAAGTCAGACATGACTGAGTGAGTAACACACACACACACACACACACACACACACACACACACGTGCGCACACACACTCACACACACTAAACACTGAGGATGCAAAGACAAATCAAGACTTCCATTGGGGATACAAAAGCAAGTAGGGTGAAAAGTGAGGCATTTAAAAGCATGTGAAGAACTTAATGAGAGAATTCTGCAGGAGAGCTTGGGTTTATCTCCTCAAGATAGGCTGTGGTTTTTAAAGTCTTTGTAATGGTGCTTCCCAGGTGATGATAGTAGTAAAGAATACCCCTGCTAATGCAAGAGAAATAGGAGATGTGGATTTCAACCCTGGGTCTGGAAGATCCCATGGAGTCAGAAGTGGCACGCCACTCCAGTATTGTTGCCTGGAAGATTCCATGGGCAGAGGGGCCTGATGGGCTGCAGAGTCAGACATGACTGAGCACACACAGGAATGAAATGCATACACATATATACATGTACAATTTTTTTTAAAGTTTAAGTTCTGAATATGCTTCTACATTTGAATTTATACTTTTATTTTAGAATAAGTGCATTATCTTTTAGTGACTGTTTTTAAGAGAAAGTACTTTTTTTTGCAGGTTCCTGTAGCCCTTTCGTTTTTATGCTATTTATGATATATGAAGGTATTATCCTCTAAGTTGTTTTTCTAGATTGTACAAACACTAGTTTGTACACTATTTATGGCATAATTATACTAAGATATTATTCTCTAAGTGGTTGGTCTTCCCAGCTAAATAATGAAGCTATTTCCTATGAAGGACTATATCTATCAGTAAGATAATGGAATTAAAGCAGACGGGTCCTGGGTTGACCCTTAGTAGCGATCATCACATTTCCCTGTGCTAATTAGGGATTCCAGCAGGACACCATGACCCATTCTACCCATTAGTTAAAGTTCCATTTCAAAAATATGGTACTCAGTTTCTGTGATCAATGATAGCTCATTGCTGCTGATCATTCCCCCAGGCGTCTTTGCTGCTTTTTTTTTTTATTTTCCCTTTTTCTCCCACCCACTTCCTCAATATATGTCCTTCCTTGTGAAAGAAGTCTGCTTTTAGAATTACACTTTTTTCAAGTCTGAGGGAAACAGATTGAAATCTCAACTTTGACTCATCATCTCTTCCACCCTCAACCTCCTCTTCTCAAACTTATAATTGCATGCTCTGTTCTTGGACGGCTGTGTTGACAGTAGTTTTATGACCCAGGATTTTTCAATTTCTTATCCAAAGCCAACTTCATCTCAAGTCCTAAAATTTATGGGCATAGGAGATGACATATGGGATTAAACTCTTGATAGATTTTGAACCTGCCTTTGGCAGTGGCCAAGGCTTTCTGTCGGAAGGAATAGCAAGGAAAACATGCTCTCTCTGGGACAGGTGGATATCATCTTGCTTGCTTTGCAGGAAGTCACTCACCACCTGCCACCCACACACAACCAACCCTGATGAAGACTCATTCCCTTTTTTGAATGACTTCAGATGTTAGGAAATTATGATTCTCTTATAAAATATTAACTGTGACCAACTCAAATAAAGCAGTATTGGAATGTAGCTAAATGCCCATCTGTTCTCCTAAGTGGTTTCTAGGTTTGATGGTTTTTCTAGGATTTATATCATTTTAAGAACTACCTGTATCCATCTGGCCAGTCCTCTAGGCTCCTCTCTGGGATTGTCTCCGGACAAAGATGAATTGTTGCTGTTGTTGTTTTCTCCATTTTGCTTCTCTTGGTTTTATCTTTGAGATGCTGCTATCCTCTTTTCTTTCTATAGTAAATAATTTCCATTTGGTCAGTTTCTCAACATCTGTGAAGCTGGCTTTTCTAAACATTCTTATTACTCGTTCCTGGACTTTGTCCAGTTTTCCTAATTGGCTTCAGGACTCTACTCTTGAAGAACTGTCAGAAATAGTGAAATCATGTCAACCAACAGTAGATAAATGTGTTATCTATCATTTAGGAGATCATCCTCTTAAATCAAAAAATAATTTAAGCATTTATAAAAATTACCTCTGGTCATATATTCAAATTCAAAGAATTTTGGAATCCACCAACTCAGTATCACAAGTGCAGGATATTTCCTTATAACACACAGGATTTTCTTGCCCCATAGAATGTGGGATCTTTGTTCCCTGACCAGGGATGGAAACACACTGACAGGCAGAGTCCTAATGGCTGGACTGCCAAGGAAAGCCCTATATGTTGTCTTGAGTAACTATTAAATGAGCCTTTTTGATCTGCAGATTCAGGCTTTTCTTCAGTTTAGCTTTTTTTGTTGTTGTTGTTCTATTTTTGTTCTGCTTACTCCTTTGTTGCATATTGCATGTCAACTATTTAAATAACTTGGTTCTTTTTTGCTTGTTTGTTTGTTTTTAATCACTTATGTCATCTTTTCATTGTCCTCTGAATGCTGTTAGAATTTTTAAATGTTTCAAATCTGGAAATTTGTTCATTTTTTACTGTTAATGATTTGGCTTTGAATAGTCTAGATTCTACTCTTGAAGTGAAGTGAAAATCCTTCAGTTGGGTCCAACTATTTACGACCTCATGGACTATACAGTCCATGGAATTCCCCAGGCCAGAATACTGGAGTGGGTCCACTCATTGTATTTTAAATTCTGTGTAGCTCTTCTTCACATTTTCTAATTAAAATTGATAGTTTTTAATTTTAATTTTTAATTTTAATTAATAGTTTCTGTTATATGCTATATCATGCTCTTATTTTCATTAATTTTCTTTTTAAAAATGTATTCTTAATTGTGGTTGTGGATATGGGTATGGCCCAGTGCAAAATTTACACTTTCTACCCCAGATTGTCAAGGGCCAGTGAGAGTTCACCGAAAGTCACTAGAACCATGACACTTTCCAAGAAGAAATATATAAGCACTGTTAAGTATATTTACATTTTTGTGAAACTAATCTCCAGAGCGTATTTATCTCTTTAAGCAACAACTTTCCAATTCCCACTCTCTCCAGTCCCAAATGACTGCTTTTTACTTTCTTTCGATGAAGCTAACTACTCTAGATGCCTCAAATAAATGGGATCACATAGCATTTGGTTTTTTGTGACTGACTGGTTGTACTTAGCATAATCTCTTCCAGGTTCATCCATACTGTAGTATACCTAGGAACTTTCTTCTTTTTGAAAGATAAATAATATTCCATTGGTGTATATACCACATTTGTTACCTCTTCATTAATAGATATTTGGTTTGCTTCCACCTTTGTCTATTTTGAATAGTAATACTATGAACATGAGTGTGTTATTTTCTTTAACTGTCTTGAGAATAAAAATTGCTTTCCCAAGCATTTGTTTGACATGACAACTAAATACTTTGCAGAAGGCTGTAGATAAGACAAGAGTTTATTTGAGGTCTTAAGAAATACTGTTTAGAAGACATAGGTTCAGGTAGAACTGAGAGAGTGCTCCAGGGAAGATGAAGTATTGGGGGTTATACAGACATGAAGCCATTTGGCTGTTAAAAGTTGCCTGGAGAAAACTGTGGTAGACTCTTGACTCTAGTGAGAAAATACTTGTCCTTAAATAATCATGAGTACTTTTAGTCAGGGGTCTGACACATAAATAGGCTATTACTAGTTATTTTAGGGTTCATTTCAGTTCAGTCTCTCAGTCGTGTCCAACTCTTTGTGACCCCATGGGCTGCAGCACGCCAGGCCTCACTGTCCATCACCAACTCCCGGAGTTTACTAAAACTCATGTCCACTGAGTCAGCTGATGCCATCCAACCATCTCATCCCCTGTCGTCCCCGTCTCCTCTGGCCTTCAATCTTTCTCAGCATCAGAGTCTTTTTCAATGAGTCAGTTCTTCCTATCAGGTGGCCAAAGTATTGGCATTTCAGCTTCAGCATCAGTCCTTCCAATGAATATTCAGGACTGATTTTCCTTCAGGATGGACTGGTTGGCTCTCCTTGCAGTCCAAGGGACTCTCAAGAGTCTTCTCCAACACCACAGTTCAAAAGTACCAATTCCTAGGCGCTCAGCTTTCTTTATGGCCCAATTCTCACATCCATACATGACTACTGGAAAAACCGTAGCTTTGACTGGATGGACCTTTGTTGGCAAAGCAATGTCTCTACTTTTGAATACACTGTCTAGGTTGTTCATAAGGAGCGAGTATCTTTTAATCTCAAGGCTGCAGTCACCATCTGCAGTGATTTTTGAGCCCAAAAATGTAAAATCTGTCACTGTTTCCATTGTTTCCAATGGAAGGTCCAATAAGTATCTTGTGTTTGTGACAGAAGTTCTGGATGACTTCTTTAGAAAAATAAATGGTCAAAAGACCTGATTCCATCCAGGCTGAGACATGCACAAGTCATTTCTTAATGACCTCCTGGTTCCATTTAAGAGTGTTATCTTAGCAAACATTTTTGTTTAATCAATAAAACATTATAAAATATGCTCTGATACTCCAGATGCTCTGAATATACATTTGTACATGCAACTTTTTAATTTGACATCATTTTTACCTGTTTGCTTATCTTTGAGCAAGGACAGACCTACCAACCTGCTATGAGACTGGATTCTCTACAGGTCCCTTCCTGAATGGCCTATAGCACTTTCTTTAAGGAGTAAGGTGTAGCATCAACTGATACAGGTTTTTAATATCAGTTCAGTTACTCAATAACTTGAGGTTGTTGATAGGAAAGCACAGAATTTTGTTTCTGTGAACTTTCCCCCTTTGTTTATTTTAAAAGCTGAAGGAGATATTTGCTTTCCCTATCTTTTTGCCTCTCCAGACATTTAGCTATGCTTAGTGACTTAGCAGCAGCAGCAGCATCAGTCTTCTTCCCAGAGTTCATTTGTCCATATTTGAGAAATTGACCAATTTGTACATATATTCTGCAGTTTTAGATGATGCTCCTTGTAGTGAGGTTAAATAATGCTCACTTATTAACATTATAATTATTCATGCAATCGTCCACCTGAACATCACAGTTTAGTCATTCCAAACTTTGAATTTGAAAAAAAAAAAATACATAAATATGAAAGGTAGTTTTAACTGCCTAAGGTGATAATGAAGTTCCATGGCATGAGAAAATTTTATGATGGGTAAGTTAGAAACCCCAAGTGATCAAGCTCTTGTTCTAAATAGCTGAATGTCTTGGAAATTAATAAGAATTACTTTATAGATTTAAAGTGCAATTTTTTTGTAATGTGTTCACTTCAATTCAGTCACTCAGTCATGTCCGACTCTTTGCTACCCCATGAATCACAGCATGCCAGGCCTCCCTTACTTTTTTATCAAATTAAATTATAGTGGTCTAGAGAGCTCACAATGTTGTGATCACTCACCTAGAGCCAGAAATCCTGGAATGTGAATTCAAGTGAACCTTAGAAAGCATCACCACAAACAAAGCTAGTGGAGGTGATGGGATTCCTGTGGGCAGGAATCCCCTAGAAGAAATGGAGTAGCCATCATGGCCAACAAAAGAGTCCAAAATGCAGTACTTGGATGCAATCTCAAAAATGACAGAATGATCTTTGTTCATTTCCAAGGCAAACCATTCAATATCATGGGAATCCAAGCCTATGCCCCAACCAGTAATGCTGAAGAAGCTGAAGTTGAATGGTTCTATGAAGACCTATAAGACCTTTTAGAACTAACACCGAAAAAAGATGTCTTTTTCATTATAGGGGACTTAAATGCAAAAGTAGGAAGTCAAGAAACATCTGGAGTAACAGGCAAATTTGGCCTCAGAGTACGGAATGAAGCAGGGCAAAGGCTAACAGAATTTTGCCAAGAGAATGCACTGGTCATAGCAAACACCCTCTTCCAACAACACAAGAGAAGACTCTACACATGGACATCAACAGATGGTCAACATCGAAATCAAATTGATTATACGCTTTGCAACAAAAGATGGAGAAACTCTATACAGTCAGCAAAAACAAGACCGGAAGCTGACTGTGGCTCAGATCATGAACTCCTTATTGCCAAATTCAGACTTAAATTGAAGAAAG